TGTGGCCGTCGGCCATAAAATTGTATAAAATATTAATTTTAGTTAGTTTTAAGTTTCTTTGTTCCTTTATTTCTTACTTTTCTAGAACTTTCCTTTCCAACCTTTTTCCCTTGGGTGGGATTAACAATCCCAAGAAATGGGAATGAAACAAAGGGTGAAGTGGGACCCTAAGGCGAAAAAGTAGAAACGAAAAGGAGTCGAGGTCGAGCTCTCGAGGAGAACTGACGAGAGAAGGTAGTGTTCCGGATCGCTTGTAAGACGATCGGAGACTACGAAGCTAAAAGAAGAGGTCTGGGCTCGAAGACGCAGAGTAAGGACGGAGAAGTGGTATAGCTTCAGATTGAGTGTGAAACAATTGGAAGCTACAAGGAGCCAGCGAACCGATAGGAAGAAACTCCTATAACAGAACTTTAGAGGAAGCCATCGAAAGAGTCGTACGAAACGATATAAAGGAAGGACGAGAGACAACGTTCCACGGAAAGGTCCACGTGGTGTCCCACCCAAGGTTTCGAACTCAAAAATCCCGGGTATTTCCATCTCCCTCTTATGCTTTATTATTTTTCTAATCTCTTCTTCCCTTTTTAGTCGTAAGTAGTGTAAGAATTAGTTATAAGTTTTTTGCCTCGCGTATAGTCGTAATTCTCAATTAATCCGCTGTTTGTTAGATCAAATTAACGCATGTACGTACAGAGATTATTGTATTGTTGGGATCTGAAGAAAAACGAACCTGTTCGAAGCGACAATAAATATCTTTGTGTTAAAGACATCCAACGTGTATTTATTTCGTGCTTTTCCGCTCGCGGGACATTGTACTTGTCGCAACGAAACACCACACACTGTTCAGACCAACCAAACAGTGGGATGTTGGGTGAAAATGATATAAAAGCTCAAAATCCCAAGGACATGGAGGTTGGGATCAAGAATGTCCAACTTGTGCATGGCATTGTGGATACTCCAACGAAGAACAAAGGAAGAACTTCAAACACAGGGACAACAAGGGGCTTAACTTCCTGATGACGTTTTCTCCACTCTGGGACCTCCCACATTTGAATTTTCTCAGAGTACCCCCGAAAAGACAGACAAACACTTGCTGGTTGGTGCAACTTTTCAGGATCATCAGAGACAAACTTTTCCTTTTCCAGGGTAATCTATACCAACTGGACTGTAATCTTATCTATTATAAGCATGTCTTTTACTTAAATGCATCAAATTTTGTAAATTCGGTCTCTGTGTGAGTCTCTCTACATCCAGCAACTGCTACCTCAATACGTTAAACAACTTTTTGCATCATCCTGACCAATTATAGGAAAAGCAAGGGTCACTATACCCTATGCAAGTGGCATCGGGGCAGAATCCTTACATATTACACTGTCTTAAAACAAGCTGTTGAACATGGTAGTAATTCTTATCAAGACATTGGTGCAAAAATGATAGTGCTTATTTGCACTTATTGGGATAGATTTCAGGTATTTCATTCAAAGTCTGATGTATTGGTCATTTGTAAAAAGATAAGGGTGAGTCATGCACTTTGAAGCTCAAATCTAGTAATTAGTTGACTCACTACTGCTGAGATCAATGACACATCACATTATCTGGATAGAATTTATGGTAATGAATCATTTGAAGGATAAAGCTTTAGGAAGTAAGGGAGAGATAAAGATGCAATTTTAAATTTATGAAAAGTGAGTCATCTTCAACCCAATGGTGGCTCCTCACTTCTGATATCATAGATGGGGAAATCACTTGGATTGGTAGATCAATTGTGGTTCAAGGGCTTAGCCCAAAACCAAGTTTAAAAACCCTGAACCAGGATGGGGAGACCAGACAGTTGTTTTGAGCCCTTCCATCTTGGCTGATTTTCAGGACCATTTCCAAAATACACCAGCTGCCTGGAAAGCTGTCTTTGCTGCAAGTTGTGGAAGCACCAAGGCAAATTGTGAAGCACAGAGCTTGGATACAGTGCAGAATGCAATTTGGGAACAAGCATAGTATGAATCTAGTTTAATGAATTATAAGTATTGTATACTTTTACATCAGTAAGTCAGAAGTATAATTGGTATGTATAACCCCTTGTTTAGAATCAAGCATATATCTGTAGAAGTATTGTGAGTTATTCCAGTAATTAAATGTTGTTTGTTGTTTTATCAGTGGTGTTTCAAATCGCCAATTTCTTTAATTGCAAGCTTGTTGCTCAGTCGTAGTTCAGATTGGAAGTCTTACAGCTACATAACACATTCAAGATTTTGAGTGAATTATGATGCATTTCATATTACACCAAATAAAAATTAATATGATTAATTAATAAAAATGAATGAAATATTATCAAATTAAATACTTCAATTAAAAAAGAGGTTTACGTAAATGTTCAATCATTGAAAATGTGACATAGCTTGCAGCATGAAAAGAGGATGTTCACAATATATAACAATAGTCCTCATACCTCCTTTCCCTTGGTGTAACATAATATGTGAAATAGCTCCAGTGTGTGAATAAAGAGATTTTAGTTTATAACATTTTGTAAATAAGATTATTTCAAATTATTGTATTGCTAATTAATATTTATTTTTAGGCTTTATCACTGTATTTAGGATGTGCCCCTCATGGGCCTACTGGTACAGGAAAAACAGAAACAATCAAAGATTTAGCAAAATCCCTTGCTTTATTTTGTGTGATGATAAACTGTGAAAATGAGATGAATTATAAATATTTTGGAAAAATACTTTCTGGTCTTGTTCAGTCTGGAGCTTGGGGTTGTTTTGAAAATTTTAATTACATTAATGCTTCAGTATTTTCAGTTATATCAACTCAACTAAAAGTAATACAGAATGCATTAATATTAAAGTTGAAAAGGATTCAGGTGATTATTATGTTATATTGTTTAAAGTTATGATTTTAAAATCTAATTTAATAGTATTATAAATTTGTTAAAATGTGTGATGAATAAATGAAATATACTATAATGATAAAAAAAATTATGATAATGATAATCGTTTTTCTAATGATTAATTTTTTAATGAATATTTTTACCCAAACTATGCTATAGACAAACTTTTCAATTTTACTGATAATTTGTTATTTAAAATTTAATAAATGAAGAAAATGATAAAATTTGCATTTATTTATGTAACTTTCATAAATTAATATTATATTTAAAATAAATAGAAAGAATTAAATTATTACTCTATATGTATTTAGTTTTTAAATTTACAAGTAAATTAAATACTTTTTTATTCTAAACAAAAGAATCTGGAAATTTTATATGAATTATAATAAGTGAAATAAATTGAAAATACCATAAGCTATTTAGGATGTGGCATACTTTGGGTTGTAATATGATTTTCATTATAATTTCTTCTTTTGCTTTTTTTTTTTCTTCAGATTGAAACATATTCTGTATTACATCACATACCAGAAAACATAACTATACCAGAAAACTGATTCTAGTTTATCAAAATTTTAACTCTATCATCATATCTAACAATCAAGCTATTTCAGTTTTGATATAGCTGTTTTGATCTATATACTAGATCATATCTTCATAGACAGTTTTTCTATGACTACATTTATCTTCCTCTCTCTTACTTAACTTACATGACCTCATTCCAATCTGACTGTAATATTTTTCTCCTTTTATTTCTTTTAATAATATACAATTAATTTGATTTTGAGACATACAATTAATTTTATTTTGAACTCTGTCTGGAACCTCACACTACTCAAAAAGTAAATAAATAAATAACTGATCTTTTATAGCCATTTAATTTTATGATTTAATTTTTATACTTTTAGTTTGAAGGAGAAGAAATATCTTTTGATTCTAAAATAGGAATTTTTATAACACTGAATCCTGAAATTTCCAGAAAAAGAGAATTACCTGAGAATTTAAAAACATATTTTAGATTTGTAGCTTGTTCTTTTCCAGATATACAATTAATTTGTGAAATAAAATTATTTTCTGAAGGATTTATTTATGCTAAAGTAAGAAATGATTTTATTTTTAAAAATATTTATTTTGAATTTAATAGTAATATGATATAAAACATATAATATATTATCATTAATAAAAAATAGTAACTAATTGATTCTGTTTAAAAAATATTTAAAATAATTTATAATACATTCCTTTATTAAATTGTGTTAATCTAACCTATACTTTAAATTTTCAAGCGTATCACATCAGTGAATATGATATTAAGTGGTTTATATTATATTTAAATTTTACAATTAGTATGGAATAAAAACCTATCTCTATTTTTCCTTTATGATCAATCCAGCTGTGGACAACATATACATAACTAACACAATTAATGGCAAACTATATTTGGTACTGTATTAAGAAATAAAGATCAATGGATTGATACTCATATTGAAGCTTCTGAAAGATTGACGATATTATTACATCAAAATATTCAATCAATTATTATTCACATTTACATCAGTAATTGCAGTAACAACCATCACTGTACATTAATTTACATATTTATTTTCAGTTTTTATGCCATATAAAGGAAAAATAGAGAGAACAGATGGTATCTGTTACCCAGTACATATTTTTTATATGTACTGTATAACAGATTCCATCTGTTTTCTCTATTTTTACCAGTTTCTTTAATTATGATGTTAATTTAAAGAAGACATATTTGATAGAAATTTCCAAAACACAGGAGTTTTTGAGGGCAACCCATTCTATAAACAAAAAATCATAGGACTATTTACTGAATGAGCACTGTTTGAGATGTCATTGTTTAAGCTTGTTTTCATCACAGAGCAGCACACTGGATGGCAAATGCATACAAAACATGTCATTTGACATTGAAACCATGCTTAGTGTTAATTTGATCAATCCAAATAAATAACCCCCTTTCCAATTCTTGATGTTTGGCAGTTTTAAGGTATATATCATTTTTTGATTCTTCTTTTAGCCACTTTTCTTTATTGTTAAGAATGTCTCTCCAATCATCCTACAACTAATGTTTATATCCTACAAAATGATTGGTGATATAATGATTGAAAATGAAATGATTAGAAAAATAATTGGTGATAAAATGCTGACTGCTCATTTTTTAAACAAATAAATATATATCTTTTGTTCAACAGAAATTGTAGTCTTTTTCCCTGATGTCATTTTATACACATCACAATTATCTTCACAACCATCAAAAACTAGAAGCAGACTGAGATGGCCAAAATTAGCATGGGACTAGCTTGAAAATTTTGTGAAAGGAATTGCACAGCACCTTGAAAGCTTTTAACATTCCAACATTGGGTTGGACCCTTAACAAGCTTTTTTTTGAATGTGTGAAAATAGGATTTTTAATAAAAGAATGTTCCTCAAGGGCCTTCCAGACTCTGGATTAAAAATGATCAACAATTTGTTGACAAGATGGTTATTAAGCAATTTACATGTAGGTCAAGCTTCATTTCCTGTACCAACAGTGAATTATTGAAAATGAAAACAATATAAATACATATGCAGGCTTTTAAATTGGTGGAGGGTAATTTATCAGGAATTTCCTGTCTCAAAAACATAGATCTGTCTGCCTATTGTTTTTGGCAGTCATTGAGGGTGGCATCTTAAGAGGGACAGCTTAATGAGGTTTGACTGTAATAAAAATAATTCATTCTAATTAATTCTCTAATTGTAATAGTTTTACAATTAATTAGAAAATTCAATAGATGTGCTGTACAGAAATTCACCTTCAAAACTACTCTTCTGCTTTTAGCATGCTGAGTTCATCAATAATACAGAAAAAGTCCAGTTTCATGGCAAAATATCTTTCAACAGACAAGATCAAAAACAGGGTTGGAAAATTTTTGTTTTTTTTTGAAATAAAACAATAATACATGCTTTATTTAGAAACCTTTGTTTTTTTTTGTTTTAAAACAGTTTTATATTACATTATAAAATACTGTTTTAAAACAATGTTTTAAATTTAAAAAAGAATGTTTTATTACATAAATTTAGTAAATAAACTTTTTCTGACTTGTGAGCTAAATGTGAGCATGGGAATGGGAAATTTTTCTCACTCATGGGTCATGAAAGCACGTGACATGCGACTTTTATCAATAAGAGGAGATTTCCTGATAGCACATGCCAGTTAATACTATTAGCAATACAGCTAATGTTATATTACTTGGATAGAAAAAGACATTATTATTATCATTGTTACTTGTTAAGTAAAAAATGAGTACAGGAAGAAGGCTTGATAATATCTGGAACCAGAACAAACTAATTTCTGGAAATTCAGGAAAACCGGCATGCAGGTGCAATTCAAAATATAGTATATAGGAAAGAAGTGGTTGGATTAGTCGCTAGTATGAAAAAATATATTGAAGATAACCATCTACAGGATGATATACAGGAATTGCAACATTTTGAACCATTATAAGTTTTAAAATTTTCTATAGCTTGCTATAAAGTTTTCCTGGGTCATAACTCAATTGAATCTGTATAGATATTCTTTAGTTCTTTGCCCGAGTTATCTTCATAGCATTATGAAAAAAACAGTCCTTTTCCAAAAATGTATGGGCTAATACATATACATTGTTATCTATGATCTATGAAAATTTTATTAATTACTTTTGCAGCGAAAGTTTTTTATAACATTACTTTTGTAGTGTTCAAAATGACTTGCAACAACTTGGGATCACTGGAGTCACGCAAGCAGCCAAAGACAGATTTCATATAACTATCACAGACTATCACCTTTTAGCAAATCTTCTGGATCCAATATACCAGAGTGCAAAGGTCACAGACAGTATGAACAAGGCTGGATTAACTCACTTTAGGGCCCTAGACACTTTCTTTTTACCGGGTTCCCTTCCTCTCCCACAAGAAATAGAGCACAAAAAAATATAAAACAATAAATAAAACAAAACTAAATATAGTAGAACCTCGATTATCCGGACTAATTGGGGATGAAGGTAGTCCGGATAAGGAAAAATCCGGATAATCGAAATTAATTTGTCTATTAATGATAATACAACACATTTTCTTTTCGATGACATATCGGTAATATTAAAAATAAATACTGTATTTAAATCGTGATCAAATTTTCAAGAAACAAATGTTTTATTGAATTTGGACTACTACTGACCAGCGCTAACAGACTAGCTATTGTTTAAAAGGCCCTCTGGCGGCTCAAGAAGACTGATTTTATAAAATAAAAAGCAGTTGAAACTGCATTTTTATGAATAAAAATTTGACAAACTATTTATCGTTTTATGACGAGTAAAATTTTTTCGTCGCGTTCTCTGCTTTTAAGTAATGCATAAACCTTCAAGGCGCGAGGCCCTTCTGACCACGAGGCATAGGTGGTGGCCCATGTCATCCATGCCTTATGCCGCCCTTGGTTATAGAAATGATGTAATTTGAGTATAAATTATTTATAAATACGTATGTCAAGTTATATTTTTATTACCATGCAAAATATATTTAAGAGTTTACGACCACTGTGCCAGGTGAGACGTTGTTGAAACAAAAAATGTTATGCATTCCATCATGTACATAAACAGTGTCGTATTTCGCCAAGTGCAAATCAGCAAATTCGTAAAATTTTTGTTTATTTTGAACAATCCGGATAATCGAAAATACGGATAATAGAGGTCTGGATAATGGAGGTTCCACTGTAATGTGAAAAACTAAAACAAATCTTAATTTTTTATTAATAAAAAATATTTAATCACTATAAAAAATCTAAATTATCTGAAGAATCTTATTTACAAATGTTTTCAAAATAAACAGTTTGACTGGGATCTTCTAAAAACTGGGCCCTAGACATTTGTCCGGCCCTGAGTATGAACAATGCTGCACTAACTCTGTGCCACACTTACTACTGCTAGTCTGTTTTAAAATACGTATTTTAAAACAGACTAGCAGTAGTAGTAGTTTTAAAATATGTAAGTATTTTAAAACAGACACTATGCCTTCAGTTTTAAAATACTTGNAAAGAGGATCTCAAGTTGTAAAAAAAAAATTTAAATTATTGGAAGAATCTTATTTACAAATCTTTTCAAAATAAACAGTTTGACCGGGATCATCTAAAAACTGAGCCCTAGACATTTGTCTCATTTGTCTATGCAATGATTCAGCCTGAGTATGAAGGATGCTGCACTAACTCTGTGCCATGCTTACTAGCACTAGTCTGTTTTTAAATACTTATGCATTTTAAAACAAACACTATGCCTTCAGTTTTAAAATACTTGGCAAAATCTATCCCATTTCTGCAGACATGTTTGCATAGTCTGTGTTAACTGATATCACTCCTCTTACATAGTGGCACTCATTACGTGACAGAATTGATGAACCTATTTTAAAATTAGTTACACAGCTGCACACAGCAGTAGCTTCTTCATCGGGAATCGAAAGAATTTTCTCTACCTATGGACTTGTTCATTTAAAACTTAAAAATTGACTTGGACAGGAAATGACAGCAAAGCTTGTTAAAGTTTTCAAGCACCTAAACAAACACTACCGAGCATTGTACATTTCTGAAAATAAGAAATTCTTCAAGCTGCAGAAGCCACTGCTGTCAATCCTGTTTTGGTATTTGCAAATCTTAAAAATGCCATTGCATAAAGAAACATTTAAAAATGCTATATTTTATATTAAATAAAACATTCTGTACATTCTTGTGTCATACACTGAAGTTTTTTGTTTTTGTTTTTTTTTTTTACTTTTTCTATTTTACTAGATCAAGTGTTTTATTTCCAAAAAAAAACCATGTTTTAAATGTTTTAAATCCGATGCCTATGTTTTAAAACATGTTTTAATAAATGTTTTAAAAGAGTTTGTTTTTAAATCATGCCAACCCTGATCAAAAGTGAAGTAAGTCTCTTAACATATTGTTGATCAGAGGTAGCTTTTGATAGTTTTGACTCTGAAAATGATTATTCTGCAGATGCAACATACATTGGTATAATTATATTTTTAATAATTACCAATTTGATGATTTAAATAGTAAAATATACTTTCAAATGCAAGTGAAAGACTCTTGGCATTGCCTTTTTTTGTCTTTATGTTGGGCTGTCTCTGACCTTATAATAAAAGAGAAGAAGATAATGAACTACAGTAGTATTAAGAGATTTCTTAGGAAAGAAGGAGAGATGAAAGCATATATGGTGGTGCATAGCTGGCTAAAACCCTTTTATCCTATTGATTTCCAGAGCCATAGCTATAGGAACTATGAAGTAGCTAGGCTTCTTCAGCTTAGTCAGCAGTGTCTATATGCAAGATATACAGCATTTTGTATGCTTTCCTTTAATCATGTAAATTTAGGCTACTGTTACTTTTTATACATGGACTGTAACCAATTGGCATATTACTGGTTGGAAAACAGAAAAATACCAGCCACAAATTTTTTTCAACTTTTTTCTAATTTATTAATTTAGCCCCAATGTTATATTCTTGGCTACAGGACTGTTGGTCTCAGAAAAGGAGATTTTTTTTTTTTTGAGTGGTTTTCCATTACAAACAAGGGATCATGTTTTACACATAATAATGATTTATTTCTAGAAAGAAAATCTTCTCCACTTTTAACTGGTGATATCTAAAGCTGATTTAACCTGTCTCATGCTCAACTCAATTTTTGGCAGCTTTGTTTCTTTTCTCTCTGTTTCAAAATAAAATATGGAATTACAGTTAACTGGTCTGTGCTAAGTCATCCTAGATTTTTATGTCATCTCTTTCAACTTTCCTTTCCTTTTGGAACAAAAAACACACAGTTAATGTTTATTAATATCCTATATTGTTTACTAAACAGTGATTTTTAAGCCTTTGAAAAATTTCAAATAACAATTGAAATAAAAATAAATAAATTAGTTTAAAACCTTTTATTATGCAACTAATTAATTCAATTTTTTTAAAATAAAAATCTTAGGTTCTAGCCAAGAAGTTAACTAATCTGTATAAATTAGCAAAAATAAAGTTATCTAAACAACTTCATTATGACTTTGGTCTTCTTGAGTTAAAATGTATATTAATGAAAGCTATAAATATGAAGAGAGAATTACCAGATTTAGAAGAAGTAAGAATTTTTTTTAATTATGTAACCCATTTAGTTTTACAATTCATATATGTCATAAAGGTAAGATAGCAGGCTTTTTTAAAGAATACTTGCTGTATTTGTATATATTCCAGTGAATTTATTCATATTTATATATAAAATTGTTTGGGTAATTTTTGTATAAGCAAGTAATAACAAAGTTTTAAATTATTTTTGTGCTTTGATCAAGTAACATCTTTGAATCTATCAGATGCTTAGTAGGTGGCTTATAAAATATAGTACAAAATTTTAAAAATTTCAGATATAAGGATCAGATCATTTCAGATAATTTAAGATATTTATCAGGTCAGTCCATAAGTTCGTGAATATTTTATGACCTTGAGAAAAATCTTGTTTTGCCGTTAAAAATGCCAGTCTAATTTACTTTTTACACTGAAGTGTTAAATTGGATCTCATTCATATAATACTGTTCAGAATTGGGAACATTTCAGTTGTTTATTTTCGTTAAAATGGAAGTAACAGATGAATATAAGAGACGTGTTTTATACTTTTTATTTTTAAGTGATGAGAATGCTACAAATGCAGCCAAAAAATTAAATACTGTTCATAATCAAACTGTAATTAGTGTAAGGACTGCGCAGAAGTGGTTTGAAAGATTTAGAAATAATGATTTTAGTGTGGAGGATAAGGCTCGTACTGGAAGACCCGTTGACTTTGATGATGATGCTCTCTCTGCACTAGTTGAAGCAGAACCATCTTTAACAGTTGATGAAATTGCGGAACGTTTAAATTCATCCCATGGAACTGTTCATAGACATCTACCACAAGTCGGAAAAGTTTCAAAGCTAGGAAAATGGATACCACATGAACTGTCAATAGCTAACTGACAACAACGTCAACTGCTCAACTCCAAAGCTTCAACTGGGAAATTTTACCTCATCCACCATATTTGCCAGATATTGCTCCCAGTGATTATCATCTTTTTCGGAGTTTGCAGAATTTTTTAAAAGGAAAAACTTTTGAGGATGAGAACAATGTAAAAAAGGCAATTTCTGAATATTTTGATTCAAAACCGAAATCATTTTACAAAGACGGGATTAAAAAGCTACCATCAAGATGGCAAGAAATTGTACAAAATAATGGTGAATACATTATAGATTAAAATAAGATTTAATTAAAATTTTTTGTTGCTTTTTTTGTAGATAAAAATGCGCACGAACTTATGGACTGACCTGTAGCTTTTAAAATGAAGCATATTTTTAATTAAACTTTTTTTTTATCTTAATAACAAATATATTATCTCAAAACTTATTTTATTTTAGGTTAATTTAATTATACAAGCAATAAAAGAAATAGATTTTCCAAAATTGACTTCAGGAGATATAGCCTTGTATAATGATCTAATACATGATTTGTTTCCTGAAATTGAAATTAATTACTCATCAATTTATCACTCTGAATTTCAAAAAGTTGTGGAAGAAGTTTTGAAAGAGGGAAATTTCAAAATTTTGCCACATCAGGTAAATTTTTGTTACATTTAATAAATTTTTTTAATAGTTGAATAAATTGTCATTACGTTAACAATGTAAATTGAATTTGGATGGAGTACTTGTAGAACAGAAGCATGAAATTTAATAAATAATAATAAAATAAATTTATGTTGATACTATGTACAGTACACACACACATACACAGAGAGAGAGAGAGAGACACAGACACATAAACCCACATACAAACTTTTGATTTATGTAGTTCTTGAATTGTCAAATTGCCCAATTTCAGTTTAACATGACAAAAATATGACAGAATTTTATAATACACAATAGAGTTTAAAACATTGAATCTTCTTTTTGATAACCTTTCTGAAAAACTAAACTCAAATTTTGTATCCACTCTTGTTAGGATAATAAATAACCTGTTACTGTTTTTAGTTTTAGTCATATAATAATTAATTCCCATTTAATGCACAAAATAACTATAAAACAATTCTATTCCATTTATTATTGCTGAAGATGATCAAAAACATAGTCATAAACATTTCTGATTAAATAATCTGTTTGGTAACCAGAATTTTAGCAGTTATTTACAATTATTTATTATTTGAACTAAAATTTCACTATTGAAATGTAATTTTTATGAAATAAATTTATTTATTATTTGTTTTATTATTGTTCAGATTAATAAAATCATGCAAATCCATGAAATAATGATGCTAAGGCATGCAGTAATGATAATTGGACCAAGTGGAGGTGGAAAAAGTGTTGTTATTAACACTTTTATGAATGCACATGTAAAGTAAGTTATATCATTTATTGTAATTAAATTTTAAAATCTAAATATAATAATGCATATCACATGACTTCAATTACATAAGATTAGGTAGCTAAACAATTCTAAGATAATTGAGTAGCATTCTCTGAAAAACAACAAGGGCACATGCCCTAATTCCTCAAATTTGCCTTGAGCAGCTGGGTGTTACTTAAGTCAGTCCTTATAGTTCTTGATACATCACTGATGAATAAGTTTACATTGTTTTCAATTTTCATAATTTAAGTTACAAATGATTTGATAAGATATTTATTATTTGATTTTTTGTTATATATCAAGGTAATATTTGATATACTTTTCAGATTAGGTTCATTGGTAAAAACTTGCATCATTAATCCAAAAGCTGTAGCTATTACAGACTTTTATGGCTTTATCAATTCCTCATCTAATGAATGGACAGATGGATTGTTTCCAGTTATTTTTCGAGAAATGAATCAGCCTGCTGAAAAATCTGAATTACGTTTCCTAATATTTGATGGAGATATAGATTCAGTATGGATAGAAAACATGAATTCAATTATGGATGAAAATAAATTGCTTACATTACCTAATGGAGAACGTATAAAGCTACAAACATATTGTATGTTATTGTTTGAGGTAAGGTAATGTTTATTAAATGAAAAATGTAATAAAAATTTATAAAATATACTTTTTTTAATGATTTATATTTGATTACAAATTAACACATTTTCTATCACTCAAAAGAGAAAAAAGATATTTTTTTTCTCATTTTATGCAATATCTATCTTTGTTTTATATAATTAAATTAAATGCAAACTTATGTATTTAATATGATAGTTAAATTTTATTTTTTCACAAAATTATTTAAAAAATGTTACTGCTGATGCATATTTTTAGCATATTGGGCAGAAAAATATTTTTCATAAATGATAATTTAAAAAAACTATTATTGCTTTTTATGTTTAAACATATTTACTAAGGTTTTGAGATTTTAAAATTATTAATTCTGCATAGGTGAGTAATCAAAAATTAAGTTATAAGAACTTATACTGTCTAGAGAAATAGAGATTTGTTTTTTGGATTGTCAAATATTTGCTGCCTTGCAAATATATTTATAATATCTGGAATTCAGACTTTTCTCTCTAAAAAAAAAATGAATATATATATATCCAAGACACTATATTGCATTAAAATTTAAAATACACAAAATACAGTATTAATAAAATACAATAATAAAATACTAATTCTACTGAATTCAAAGTGGTTTTGACATCAGTCTAAAAACCAGTTTGACATTTAATATATTTTGTTGAAAACTGGTTAACTTATTTCAAGAATTTCCAGTTTTTGCCAGCACTAATATAATCATTGTTTTTATTAAATTTGTATATAATTTTTTCTTGGAATAATAAATAAATATGAAAACATTTCATTTATGATAGGCTGCATATTTTTATCATCACAGTTGCTTCATTGGAGAAAATATCTTAAATATGTTTAAATATTCAATACTAAAATTGAAGATAACTACAGCATTAATGTTTTTATCTTTTGATTGACTTAAAACATAATATCATTATCATCAGTATTTTGCTTCAAGAGCAAGTACTGATTTCCACATTCCCACATCATTCTCCAATCATCCTTATTTCTTGCCATTTCTCTCATTTCTTCATAAGTCCTTCAGTAAAGTTAAAATTATAACTGTTCCACAATTGGTGTCCATTCTGGCATGCCAATAACACAATGTAAAGTTCAAATAGTTCGTATCTCTCAAACTTGTTCGTCAAGAAAACACCTTATGACTGATGAGCAGTAACACTTTTTCAGAGATCATAGAATAAAGTTAGCAAAACGGATCCAAACTTGAATTTCCCACTTCCACGTCGGCTTTATATAGTCATTGACAGCCAACCAATCAGTAGTTTCACTGGTCTCAGCTCTATTCCAGGTCCGCCATATTGCGTGATGTTTTTGCCAACTATCTCTTCTTTGAGACGCATGCATTGCCAGTTCAAATTGACCAATTGCGTTCTTACACGATATCACCATGACACCTTCCATCCTTTAGATCATCAATCATTTTGATTCTTTTTATTCGTTTATTTCTCCCTCAATTATACTTTCCATGACCTTTTTTACTATTTCAACTTTTCTCAGTATATGTCCTATCCAATTTGCTTTCTTTTTCATAATTTTCTTCAATAGTTCTCTTTTCTCTTCAATTCTTTCCAACACTTCATTTATTAATAACCTTATCAATCTAGCTTATTTTCAGCATTCTTCTCCATATCCACATTTTAAATGTCCTAATCCTTCTCTTTAATCATCATTTTTTAAAGTCCATGCCTCAGCTCCATAAAACAGCACACTCCAAATAATGTACTTTGCTATCTTTTTCCTTAAAGAAAGATTTGAAGAACCACACAAAATGTTTTTTCAGTTTTATAAATGCCAGTCTTGCCATTCTAGTTCTCTCTAACTTCTCCAGTTTGTTGCTATTATGCTCCCAAAGTATTTATAACTATAAACTTTCAACATTTTTTCCACTAATCTTCATTAGTTTTTTCAGCTTTTTCAACAGTCATCACTTTTGTATGCATTTATCCTTATCACAAAAATTTTGCAATATACTTACTGAGTGTTAGAGGTTAGTTTGATTATCTGCTATGATTACCATAGTGTCTGCAAATCTTATGCTATTAATCATTCTTCCTCCTATTCTTATGTCATTTTCTCAGAACTCATAATAACTTTGCTCCACATTACAACAAAGCAAATACATTGCCTCTCTTCTTTTTCATAAGTCTTTCATTCATGATTTTCAGTAAGCCCAATGCATCCCTTGTACCTCTTCCTCTTCTAAAGCCATATAGGAATTATATTTTATGTTTATAATAATATCGTTATTGATATTATCAATATAAAATATAATATAGTTTCAATTTTCTAAATTTTTGTCAAAATTTGATTAAATTCAAAATTTTAAAGTATATAAGTTTTGATCAGTGATGGTCTGATGGTAACTTGTGCCAGAGGCAAAACCAATTTTTGCTACCCCTGCTTCCAAAATGATTGCCCATAGAAAGCACATACAGCTCTGGAATTTTTGTATGAACTATTTATAAACTTTACAGTATATTTACAGAACTTTATTTTATCTGACATAGTATTCTCATTGCTTACTTATTTATTTTTGACTGGTTATTTTGCTTCTTAAGCAGTTGCTTCATCACCTCACCCATTGAGGCAGCCTTGGTTTTGATAATTCAGAAATCAAATCATTTTGATTTGGACATCATTGAATCTATTCAGTTTTGGTTTAGATCATTTATTGTGTAATATAAATTTTAAAATTGAAATTATATGTTTTTAGGTTGCAAATTTACAATATGCACTTCCAACTACAGTCTCTAGATGTGGAATGATTTATGTTGATCCTGTTGACCTTGGTTACCTTCCTTACTGGGAATGTTGGTGTATGACAAAAGCTGATGATAAAAAGCAAGTGATATTACATAAACTATTTGAAACTTATATACCAGATTGTATTAATTATGTTTTTAAAAATACTATTCAAAATAAAAGTGCATCACAGTTAACTACAATTATATCACAAACCCCTTTGAATATGGTAAGTTTTTAAATCTTAAAATACAAATTTATAATTTATATTGAAAATATTTAAATGATATTTAGATACATTTCATAAATTCATTACTATAAACTTTTTGTTTTTATATTTCAGCAAATTTTAGTATAATTAATAGTAAAATTACATATGGGAAATTAAATTTCTATTAATTTATACTGTGACAAATTGTTTTCTAATGAAGGAAGGATTGCAATTTTCCTTTCTCTCTGCAAATTTTGTCATTGTGCTCTAGCTCTAGCATTGAACTTGCGACACAAAAAGTTTTCTAAGCAAAACTGTTATAAAATTTAAAAAAAAAACAGAAGAATTAAATAAAACTTTGAACATTATATTTATTTATTTATTCCACATTAGTCTGTTGTAAAATTGAATCATTTACATATAAACCAGGGGTGGACAACCTACAGTCCGATCAACTTCATTTGCAAATATATGTAAGCAGCTTAAGTTATTTTCAAAAATAAAATCCCCAAAATATGAAACCTATGATGTAAGAAAATAAAATCATTTAGTTTGAGCTCGTTTTAAAATAAAATAAAATAAATAAAATAAAATTACTGTTCAAAACAAAAACATCTGTTTTATTCATTGGGTTCTTAAGTGTTAATCACTTTATTTTCAAATGAATAAACCAATCATTTTCCCAAAATAATTTTTATATAAATTAGTATTAGAAAAAATTATTTGAACATATAGGAAGTTGGAAATTATTTCAAGAATTTCCAGTTTTTGCCAGCACTAATATAATCATTGTTTTTATTAAATTTGTATATAATTTTTTCTTGGAATAATAAATAAATATGAAAACATTTCATTTATGATAGGCTGCATATTTTTATCATCACAGTCAGACTTATTAGTCAGATAGTGTCTTCCATAACCGCATCTCTCCGTTTTGATGGGGCATTGAACGTTGATTTGACAGAGTTCCAGACTAATTTAGTACCGTATCCCAGAATCCACTTTCCTTTAGTTACCTACGCTCCCGTTATCTCTGCCGAAAAGGCCTACCACGAACAATTGACGGTTGCAGAAATTACCAATGCTTGTTTCGAGCCCGCAAATCAAATGGTTAAATGTGATCCTCGCCACGGCAAATACATGGCGTGTTGTATGCTTTACAGAGGAGATGTTGTTCCTAAGGATGTAAATGCAGCCATTGCTGCCATTAAAACCAAAAGATCAATCCAGTTTGTAGACTGGTGCCCTACAGGTTTCAAGGTTGGAATAAATTATCAGCCTCCAACCACTGTTCCTGGAGGTGACTTGGCAAAAGTTCCTAGAGCTGTTTGCATGCTCTCCAACACTACTGCTATTGCAGAAGCTTGGGCTAGATTGGACCACAAATTTGATCTCATGTATGCCAAGCGTGCCTTTGTTCATTGGTACGTGGGAGAAGGTATGGAAGAAGGCGAATTTTCGGAAGCCAGAGAAGATCTGGCCGCTCTGGAGAAAGATTACGAAGAAGTGGGAATGGATTCTCTGGAAGGAGGTGAAGAAGAGGGGGAGGAATACTAAATGCATTTCGAAATATAATTTGCTAGAATGGCAAATTTCCATGCTTTTGTATTTCGATTAAAGTATTAAAACTCGCAACTGTGTTTGAGTTTTTGTGTTATTGAGCCAAATGAAATAAATAATTTTTAAAGTCTAGGGCTTGCAAATAGCCCAGATTTAAACTCTCATTGAAAATTTATGGGCAAAGTTGAAAATGCTGGTTGATAAAAGAGTGCCAACTAATAAAAATGAACTTAAAGAAGCCATTAAAATTAGCTGGAGTAAAATAACTTTCAGAAACCTTCAATGAATTAATTTTGATAGTGTCAAGGTATATAAAAGCTTTAATAAGATCATAAGGAGGACCAACAAAATCTTAACTACTGTTATTTTGCAAGTGATCTTTTTATTATTATTAGTGATGTAACGAATATTCGGTTACTATTTGGTATTCGGCCTATTTTTCACTATTCGGCCGAATACCGAATATTTAATCACTATTCGGCCGAATACTGAATATTTAATCACTATTCGGCTGAATACCGAATACCTAAAAACAGGAGTTATAAACAACAAAAACACAGTAAATTAATCATTTTCATATTTAGAGTTAATGTTATCGAGTTAGTGTTGTTTGTTTATATTTATTTATAACTTGTAACATGCACAAAATAAAAAAGAAAATAATATTAGTCACATGTATTCACAATTTATAATTACAAAGATCAGCACATGTACACATCTATCGTTGAAGAATCCTCGCACATCTGAGGGTCTAACCCTGCCTATCCTTCTTTTTAAGCGCTCGTCTTTGCTCTTCCCTTTCTCTTTCCTCTATCGCTCTAATCCATGTATGCCTGTGCATACATCACAAAACGCGCTCACCATACTTTTGATTCGTCAATTTTCCGTCGTAGAGTTCCCATTTTACAATTATGTGACTCAGCCTGGTGATAACGGAGAAAAGAGACAGATAGGACGTCGATATAAGTCACAGTTATGATTTCACAGATTCGAGACAGCTTGATAGCCCGAACGGCCCCAGGCTTTCGCCCGTGCACGCTAAGTGACTTTCATTACAAGCATTTAGCTTTCCGAAGTCTATGACAACAATTGTTTGGCATTGACGGCCGTGAGTTTCGCGCCAATAAGCTGTTTCGACTTGTTCGATTATGTTATCGACTCAATTTCATGTTTATTTTCACATTTTCACTTTGCGGTCCTTCTCTGTTCCTTTTCCGTTATTTACACGTGTAGGACATTTCACTGTTATCCACATTTGATATCATCACTTATCACATACTGCCATGACGTTCTTGCAAGGCATACAAGAGATACTTAATAACTTTGGGAATTGTTCTGTCGTCCTGGCAGGAGATGTCAACGCTCACTCCCCTGCATGGGGGCGTGACCAGCTAGATACCAGGGGGGAGGCTGTGGAAGAGTTTTTGGCTAGCAGCAACCTNTACAAAACCGACAAAAGAAAGAGAAAAGCAAATAAAATGTGACATCTGTAATCATTACTATAAACCAACCTATAAGAATCTCCACATTGAAAAAAACAGAACATAAGAATGCCTTATACAATAGTGAAGCTACCAAGAGATTAAGACTGCATTCAAATCAAGATTAAAAACGTATTCGATTTGGAATGTTCTTAATTAATTAATCATATCGAACAAACAGAATTTTTAGATGTGAGAGACAAAGTTATTGAAATGATAACTGAGCAACTGAAAGAAATGGACTTGAAAGTAAATTTCAAATTTTTCTGTGAGTATCAAAGTGAAGAAGAGTACATAGACTTTTCATTTAAAACTGAGAATGAGATTATTTTAAAAACAACAGATTTGAATTTTTATTATGATAATGTGATTGATAAACTAATAACTTGGAATGAATTTGAAGCAAAAGTATCTGGATGATCTTTAATAGAGAGGTTGCGGCCGAAGTTCAAACGTTACTTCTAAACGGCAAGCAGAAGTACACGGTTTACGTTACTTCTCCAATAGAAAATCGTTGCGGCGAACGTTCACATCACGTGACTCAATGAACGTCGCGCATTGACACACGAAAAATTTGTTGAAAAAATGGCGAAAGCATTTGACAACGAATTTCCCGAGCGAAGATGAATAAACAAATTAAGCTATTTTAAAGTATTCATAAGATGTTATAACACTAAATAATTATTTTTTTTTACTATAATTAGCGTCGTATTTTTTGCGTTACAAACATTAGAAAAGTTCCAATGCGTTTTTCCTGTTATCACGATATATTTCTGTTGAGAGAAGTAGTGGCTGTAAATCCATATGCGTATGAAAATCCGAAAGGTGCTTGGAAAAGTATATCTGAAAATTTACGGACGTATTACACTACACTGTCGACGGTAGAAGATGCCGGGAAAAAACAACTTTACTTCTACAGTATTATGACAAGGTTTGTGAATGCCATCTTGCCTCCCAGATATACAGTCTGTTACAAAAGTATACCACAAATTTTGTGATTTTTCAAAATTTGTTTAAATTTTTTATTAGAAAACAGTTTGATATGTTTTAAGACAATTACAAAAATATCATTTTCAAGCTCTTTATCTTTTAATGATAATATATTAAAAGTTATCACTTTTTACTTGTTAGCAAAGTGTAGGTACACTTTCTAAAATTACATAAAATTAATTTTTAAATATATTTTAAACACTTAATATTTGGTTTTACCCCCTTTGGCTACAATTACTTGAAAAACTTTTTTAGGAATGGTGTTTATTACCTTTTTAATTGTTCATTCTTAATTTCATCTCATGTATCCATTATTGCAATTTTCAATTGATTTACAGATTTATGTTTCCCACTTTGATAAACAATTCCTCCTAAAATTTCCCATAAATTTTCAATTGGATTTAAATCTGGACTACATGAAGGCCAGTCAATATTACATCAATATTTTCTTTTTTAATGAAATTTTTTATTGACATTAAGACATGAATGGGAGCATTATCTTGTTGAAAATACCATTTATGACCTCCAATTAAACCACCAAATGCAATCATATTTTTGTCAACAAATATTAAATTAGTTTCACCTTCCAATCCATCCTATTTACCCACAAAACTAACCCAAATCATTACAGACCCAGCCCCTTGTTGCTGGCTTATTTTAACTCTGCTTTCTCTTCTTAAATCATGAAAATAATATGAAAACCCATTAGGGCCATATAAATTAAACTTTTCATCACTAAACATTTCTTTCCATTCTTCAGTCCATCCCGTCTTGTCTTTAGCTTAATTTAAATGCATTGATATGTGTTTGGCAGTTAAAGGTAGTTTCAACTTTATTTTTAAATATTATACATTGTGACAGTTTTTAAAGTTCTCGAAAAAGCTGCATGAGATACATCTATTTGATATTCAGCAGCAGCTGACATCTTTTTTATTTATAAGCTTCAAACTTCTCTCTAATTCCTGGATGTTAAACATGATATATGTT